GTTCAATATTAAATAAGCAAATAGTGTTTAAAATAAAAACATTTTTTGTGATTGCTAAAGATGAATGAGAAATGAACAGTAGTAGGAAGTGAAATATATTTACATCAGTACTGTACTTAAGTACATTGTATAGGTATTTTAATTTTTGCTACTTTTTACTACTTAACTACATATCAAAGGGAAATGTTGTATTTTTCTCAGCTATAGTCATGATATATTGTTAAAGAAGAAACTATCGATGTTAAAAAGGAGGTCCTACATGGATGTATCATTACTTGTACTCTTGATACTTAAAGTACATTTTGCTGATAATAACTTTGTATTTTGTACAAATTCTCTTGAACAGTTTCTGAACAGTTTTAAGATTATTAAATGGCCTCAAAACTGAAGAAAGATCTACTATTTACTGTTTCGTTTCTGCATTGTTGTGCTGATGTTCTAGTAGAAACAGCAAAAGTGTGTTCCTTTTCCAGCCCCTAAAGGGCACAAGAAAGGGTATAGAATAACTGTAGTAAAGTGATCAAAATGAATGTTACGACAACCTTCAAGCCAATGAGCAGCATTGGCCAAACAGAAGCATACACTCCTTAATGCACAAGTTCTATATTTCTAGCTATTTACCATCTGAAGCTCAGGGGCACTCATGCATACATAGGCTGCTAATCTCAGGACATGGCTGTCTGTCCGCTGCCTCCTGTCTCAGAAGCACTCAGCCCAGCAGATGACATGGCCACGGATGACGTGATTAGGTTACAGATACTGTAAGTTACTGACAGGCTGTGAAGGAAACAATAGAGGCTTATTATCTTACAGTGATAATATCGGTGGCATCTAAAATCAGTTTCCCCGTGGTGGGTTTGGTTTGGTTTTAATGCATGAGGCCCAGGTGGGAAGATTCTGTTCCTGACTCTATTAGTCGCAGTGACTTTACAACTTCAATTAGAAGTAGAAGACACTCTATTTTCACCTGTTAACTCTCATCTCAGTATCATCCTCGCCACTGAATTATATCCCACATCCTCTTCTCACTCTAATAAACATATATGTTCTATTTCTCCCACCTATTAATTTAAGTCCTTCACACATTTCTGTTTTATGATCATTCGGTATCGCTTGATTTTTAGCATGTTAGCCTGTTGTTATCAAATTATTACTATGCTACTGCATATATGTTCTGCTCCATATACCATGGAATGTTTTTTGGCCATTAACCCTAACCCTAACATTATTTATGTAGCAGCTTTAAAAACTGAGTTTACAAAGTGCTTTGATAAACAAAGCAGAAGCACCGTACAAAAAATACATCAAAGATAACATCACGTAAAAGCAAGTCTATAAAAATAAGTTTTAAGAAGTAATTTAAAAGACGTCACTGATTATGCAAGCTTTACCTCAGGTAGGTCATTCCAAAACCGAGGGACCCTGACAAAAGTACAGTCACCTTTAAGATTTAAGACTCGAGTTTGAAACGTCCATCTGAGGATTTAACCTGCAAACTGGCTCATATAGGGTCAACATTTCTACTATGTAGACTGGGGCCAGAGCCAGACAAACAGGGAGCCAATGGAGAGATGTTAGGGCTGCACGTTAAAATCTATGTGTTTCTGCGCACTGATGGGCAGTTGTACCTGCACCCCGTCCTGTGTCAGAAGCAACCAATGAGAAGAATCAGGAGAAACAGCAGGACTCTCCTTCAGGATCTCTTCTATAGGGGAGTCCACGGAGGAGACCGAGATACTCCTGTAAGTGTCTACCTAGCATGTTTCTGAGCTTCACTAATGAATGAGTTCAACTGCCCGAAAAACACAGAACACCTCTTTTCAGCTCATTTCTATGGATAAAAAGAGTAAGAAAGAGTTGTTTTTACAGATCCCAGCTCTCCCCGGTCGAGACGCTAAAATGATCCACTCCATCGCCAGCAAGCTCCTCCTCCTTGAGAATCCTGACACTGTGGAGATCTACAAGGTCAGCATTCAGCTATTTGAACAGTGTGTTATTATTATTATTATTATTATTATTATTACAGTGAGTGATGCTTTTACTTTGTTACAGGTCAAGAGCTCTAATTTAATCTAAAACACATGAATTTCTGAAGGGGTAATATTTTGTGTTTCTTTAACGTCATTATTGTTGTTGTTGTTTTTTAAATTTACTAAATATTAGTCACTGGAAATGCTCTCCAAGTTGACATAATCAACATTATGCAATAATTATAGCAATTATGAGCAATTCTCATAAAATTAGGAGAGTTCACGTAGTATCAAGTCGATAGAACAAAGTTAAATATGCTTTTTGTGCTATTAAAGAGACAGGACATTAGGGTTAATGTGAGGTGGATTCACCCCTTTGATTAATGCGTGGTCCCCATTTAGCTGGATGATTCAACAGCCCGTTCGAGAAGAACTGGTAAAGACGATGTTTACCTCCCAGCCATCACAGCAAGGGTGTCAAGTCTCAACTCAATGAAAGGGGCTCTGAGTCAGTCCTGCCCTTACCTGTACGACAAAAGAAGAGGATCTTTCTCCTCAGTTGCCTCTCAGAGAACTGGAGGTCACCCTAAAAAACAGGTGACATAGCATATGTTTAACTTCCTGTGAAATTGTATTGAAACTTCTTTTCAAACTCAGACTTTTTTGCTCTTTCCACCACCCTCTCTCTTCATAACAGAGTAACCTTATGGCACAAAAGGAGGCAAAGAAATCCAACGTCACTGTGACAATGACCTACCTAGGACACTGTCATCGGGGGTCAGGGTTGCGGTCGACTCAGGATGAGCTGAAGGTACTCCAGCAAGTCAACGGAGGGGAGAATATCTGCGTCTTTAAAGGCCTGTTGACTCCAGGAGGTACGAGCTGTGAAATGTAAAGCTGTTTTGCTAGAATGCCCAAGAATGTGCACAAAGAGCACTTCGCTTTAAAAATACAGTTGAAAAAAATGTAAAACTTAAAATGTCTTTGTTATTGGAGTGATCTTCAAAAATGTAATAGGAAAATGAGGGCGATTTCCCACATTAAACAAACCCAGAATAATACATAAGTGAACTTAGCTGTGTTAAACCTTCTCCCTCTTTTCATGCATTTAATTACTGATCTGCCCTCAAAGCAACTCCGTAAAAAACATGACGAGGACGTTAGCCTGAGGCAGTATTTGCGTTTAACAAGAATAGAAAGCAGATGTGTGACCCGATAGACCATGTTCACATAAAAAAGTCAGTAGACAAGACAAGATATTTCATCTTTGCAGCCGGTACATGTTGACACACATTGTACAGCTGTCACTCCAGGGAGGAAATCACAATGTCAGGCAGATGTAAAAGAAAGAGGTTATGGATTTCTGCTTGAAAATGTGGTTGTGCTTTTTTTTTGTAGCTGTATAAGTTGACTTAGGAGTTGTCTATTTAGGATTTAGCAATGTTTAGATTTGTAATGACTTTAGATTTACTTTTATGGTACTGGTTTTATCTATCTATCTATCTATCTATTTTGGAGTACTGTAAACTACACTCACAGTCCACTTTATTAGGTACACCTTGCTAGTACCGGGTTGGGCCCCCTTTTGCCTTCAGAACTGCCTTAATTCTTTGTGGCATACTTTCAACAAAGTGTTGGAAACATTCCTCAGAGACTTTGGTCCATGCTGACATGATAGCGTCATGCAGTTGCTACAGATTTGTTGGCTGCACATCCATGATAGGAATCAATGGTTCCACCACATCGCAAAGGATCTCTATTGGATTGAAATCTGGTGACTGTGGAGTACAACATTGTCATGTTCAAGAAGCCAGTTTGAGATGATTTGAGCTTTGTGGCATGGTGCATTATCCTGCTGGAAGTAGCCATCAGAAGATGGGTACACCGTGGTTATGAAGGAATGGACATAGTCAGCAACAAGACTCAGGTAGGCTGTTGTGTTGTGTTTGCTTGTGCCCAAACTGAAAAGAAAATATACCTCACACTATTACACCACCACCACCAGCCTGAACCGTTGATACAAGGCAGGATGGATCCATGCTTTCATTTTTATGTCAAATTCTGAATGTCGCAGATGAAATCAAGACTCATCAGACCAGGAAATGTTTTTCCAGTCCTCTATTGTCCAATTTTTCCCCTGTGTGAATTGTAGCCTCAGTTTCCTGTTCTAAGTTGACAGGAGTGGCACCCGGTGTGGTCTTTTGCTGCTGTAGCCCATCTGCTTCAAGATTTGACATGTTGTGTGTTCAGAGATGGTATTCTGCATACCTTGGTTGTAACAAGTGGTTATTTGAGTTACTGTTGCCTTTCTGTCATTTCGAACCAGTCTGCCCATTCTCCTTTGACCTCTGAAAACAAACAAGGCATTTTTTGTCCACACAACTGCCGCTCACTGGATATTTTCTCTTTTTTGGACCATTCTCTGTAAACCCTAGAGATGGCTGTGTGTGAAAAGGTGAAAATCCCTGTAGATCAGCAATTTCTGAAACTCAGACAGCCCATCTGACACCAACAACCATGCCACATTCAAATCCCTGTTCTTCCCCATTCTACTGCTTGGTTTGAACTTCAGTAAGTTGTCTTGACCCCATCTACATGCCTTAATGCATTGAGTTGCAGCCACGGAATTGGCTGATTAGCTATTTGTGTTAACAGGTGTACCTAATAAAGTGGCCACTGAGTGTATATACGTGTTGGCTACAGTGGTATGTGACTTTGGTGTGAAGAGTGGCTTTTAAAGAAGAAAGAGTCACTAGGAAAGATTTTGACATTGTGTTATGTGGATTTTCGAGAGTAACAGGAAAATAATGTTGCTGTGGAATTTATTAAATGTCACTTTTTCAGTGCTGTGAGCCCCACAAACAAAATGTCATTCACCTTCACCTGTACTGGGGTGGGGAAAAAGGCTTAGAGATACATATTCAAAACTTTCTGTATGGATAGATACAGTACCACTAACAGTGAGTGACAAAATGCGTGTTTTGTAATTTGGGTGAATGAGCCCTTTAAACTCATGACATATAGCCCATGTGTTTCTTTATTTTTTATTTTGATATAACTTACCTAGACAGCATCAATGACTATATGAAAATGGTTTACAAATGACTAAAGATGTCAGTGTGACATAACCGCCTTCCTCTTAAATTGGACTCAGATCTTGCTCTTCCTTTAAGTCTTACTCCTAAATGGGACTTCTGTCTTCAGTCTGATTTTGGTCTTGATTTGATTTTTTTTTTTAAATAATATGACATATTGTATGCTAATGACGCAACTGGAAATTTTTGCAAGAGAAAAAGGAAAAATAAGAAAAACACAAAATGACTAAATGAATACACATCATGTTCACGTTTTTTTTTGTCTTCTGAAATACAGGAAAACTTTGCCTCCAAAACTATTGAAAAAGTACAATCTTAGAAAAGAACATAACTCTTTGGTTGTGGTGCTTATAGCTCATATACATAATGTTTTATTATACAACTACTGGTGACATAAATTGAAATTGACATTGTTTAAGCGTGAAATACAGTATGTTGCCAGATTCAAAGCGCATTGAAAGACCACAGAAACAATCTGGATGTGATAAATCTGTTGCAAATAGGTGGCTGCTGAGCTATTAACCTTAAAATCTGCTTGTATTGTCCAGGTTTTGCACTGAATTGTTTAGCCTCAGACTGAACTTATAACTAAACTAAAGAAAGACACTGAACCTGCTAACATCACATCATTTTGACCTGTGATGAAGTGAACATTTCAAATCAGCAACGTGATTTCCACCTTAATATGTAACCTGTGACGAGGGGTCACTGCTTGGTTGTCAAGGGTCACAAGCCAAACACATTAGGAACCGCTGCTGTATGCTATTTAGTGGATGCTGCCACCCCAAGTGTCTCATAGCATCATGAGTACAGAACACAAGAAAAACAAGACAGTCAGATGACCATGCTGAATATGTTCAACCTTTAAGCATTTCATAACAATTTCTCCTTGTATCTTTCAGAGCAGTTCCAGTTTGTCTCTCAGAGACACAGAGGCTACCCCTTTAGTGCCACCTTGTACGTTAACGGCATCATGGTGGCCAGAATCAGTTCCTGCTGTGAGTACCGCTATGCTCCTGGGTTCCAGCAGGGCAGAAAGAGCTGCTTCAGGTTGGCTTGGCTGGCTGGTGGGATACCCTGTCACAGGTCAGATCTCATCCTCTGGGGAGCGGACAGCATAGCATTGGCAGTGATGAGAAATTAATACCGATCAAAACACATCAGTTTAACCCATTGCTCTGCAAATATTATGTATTGTGAGTCGACGGTGGAGGAAAAATGATGCATATTGCAAGACATGAGGGAATGATAGTGGTGGTGGTACAGGGGAGGAAATATGAGTCATGAGGAAAGCATATTTTTCATCTTTTTCAGATGTACAAATGTCCGAAGCAAATACAGCTCATGCCAGCAGCTGAATGATGACACAAAGGAGAACTTAATTCTCCCTCTAGAGCAGAGCCCTGGCAACGGTACAAAGTCTGGGAATGAGTGTCTCAATTTTCCATTACTTCCTAAAGCTTATTCATCAACATTTTTTTGACATTAGGCCCAGTCCTTGATTTCAATGGGCTACTTTAAAGACAAAATGTACCACAAAGCATTTGTTTTAAATTCAATTTTCTCTCTAATGTCTCCAATGCAGGCACCACTGAGTCATGTCCATCATCCCCTCTGTTTATCCCAGCTAAACCAGAGAAGAAGTCAGTGAGGAGGACAAGAAAACACATCAAGCAAGGCGGCGGAGGATCTACAGACAGCGAAGACCCGACTGTAGCTGGGATTAAAAAGACCTCCAAGAAGAAACGACGCAAGGGTCAAACCAATCAGAAAGAGAGCAAAGGCAAAGCTGCTGGAAATAAGAGGGAAGAGGGACGAAACAGCAAGGGCACGGAGGTCTCGCGGAGGCCAACAGTGTCAGAAAAATGTGGAGACCAAGCATCGTCTGCAAGGCAAGAGCAGAAACAGCAGAAAGCAACCAGCGATGTCACAGCACAGCTGACAGAGCAGACGCCATCGAATAAGACAAGCAAAGTTTTCGGTGAGCACTGTTTGACTCATTTTAGCTGGTTTCATTTCTGTAAAACACTATGGAAAATAGAGGAGAATTCTTTCTCCTCTATTTTCTGTCCTCTTCCATGAAGGATGACCTTCAATCCATCTGCATGTGGTATTTGTATTTAATATTCTTTGTGGGGGGAAAAATGGGAAAAGAACACAAGTGTGCGTTTCTTTTTAAAGATTCATTGCAGGATGAGGAAGCACTGACTAAGCAAAATGGAGAGAAACAGAAGTACTTGGGATCAAATGGGAAAAACAGAGATGGGGAAAGACTGAAGGACTTCTATGAAGAATGTGTGGAAATGAGCGCTGCCCTGGAGCAGGGCCCAAACAAACACAAGTGGTTCAAGGCAAACCGTGAGTAAAGAAACCGCAGCACAGTAGGAACAAACTGGAATCCCCCTGGAGTGCTGTAACTGATTTACATAATACACTTAAGCAGAAAAGGTTGAATATGCAATAAAATGAAGCGTTGAAAGATGTACGCTTGAAAGAAAGATGGATGGATGGATGAGGTTATGCAGACATTGTTCACATATATACGCATGCATAAATCTCACTGCAGCAGATCTGTTTTCTCTATTGAACACGAATGCTCAAACTGAATTTTTTCAGTAGTTGCATTCTCACGTCAACAGTGGGTATCACTATCGCTGTGTGCACTTGGCTTTAAGAGAGACAGTTTTATTGCGCCTGAGTTGTTTTTTTTTCTCTTTGTATGCCAAGTCCTGGAGAGGTGCCGGCTCCAGAAGACGCTGTCATTGTGCCCCAAAGCTCCAGGCTCAGATGTGGAGCTCAGTGCAGAAAGTGACACCATCCTGCAGCCTGATGAAGAGCCAGAGGAAGAAGGGGACAAGGCCAGCCAGAGTGCTGGCAAAGAAGAGCCTGTTAAAGAACAAGACCTGCAGGCGCAGGTGTGTGTACAACAGAAATTACTGTGGTGAATCTGTGTTTTTGCCAGAGATGCTCTTGGCATAAATCTCTGGCAAAAGTAGTGGAAATAATCACATCCCTGCGTTATCCAGCAGTGTGCATTCATTTGTTTTAGAACTGGTAATTTAATTGCCAAATAATATAATGGTGTTAATATAAAAATTGTTTGTCTTTTAAAGGTATATATTTCCCATTAATATAGTTATTTAGTTTTCAGCCTTAACATTAAGGTATGCAATTCCAATACATACTGAATCCAATGGCCTACATTCAATACAGGCTTTGTCAAATTCAGCAAATATCTCCTCACAGTCTGCTTGCTGTCCGTTCTGTGTGCGCTAAAAATATATCGGTGTTTGTACGCAGCCCTGGCTTTGTAAATAGGAAACAAACAAAATGACTTAGACCAAGCCACACAACACAGTTCCAGCCATTTTCCACAATACAAACAAATGCAACAGAAAATATGTTGTAAAAAAATTTGATGCAAATATCATCCGTTCCCATATTAGGATTTATATAAGATGATGCAGTCTAAAAGCGATGAATATGTATTTCAGTATCAGTGTGTTTATTGATTTTACAAACACACAATGTTAGATATAAAACTCAAAAACATAAAAACTACTAGTACAACAGGAAAAGGGCATTATGTCATTGATATGTAACATTTATTTGACCGATAAAAAGTTGATAACTTTACAAGCGGTTGTAACAAATGGTCACTGAGGTTTATCTGGGACAGGCAGGCGTTTGGCTCGGTGGTAGCCATCATGATGAAAGAGCTTCCAACAGTGCCTGAAAAATTCCTCAAGGTCTAGCAAAGTGGCACAGCGGATGTGGCTGCCAGCCAGACCATATGTCTTCCTGAACCCTCAACCCGTCTCGGTGTTTAGAAAACCTCCAGCACCTGTCCGACTCACACCTCATTGCTGACCAACATCACATTTTGGAGCTATGCTGCTCTCACACACAAACAGTAAATACTTAATGTTCGCAATACTCTCAATATTCTCAGGGCTGTGATGCCAAATTCTGGCATCACAGCCTGTTGAGTAAAAAAAAATTATCTATCTGTGCTACAAAATGGGATTCCTGCATTTTATTAAACCTTGCTGTCTGCCGATTGAGGTGAACTAGAAGTTATATGAGGTATTTATATTTGTGTAATTTCTTGGTACAGTCTTGCATCCTCATGTGGAAGACCATTTCTGACCAGCATTAGGGTAAAATATATAGTAAAAATATATATTATACAGAAAAAAAGGAATAAATATATTGTTGTAAAATGTGTCTAACTCGAGACCTCGACCTTTGGCCTTATGAAATCTTTCCAGTGGGTAAACTTGCAAATACATTCCCATCCTTTTTTTTGCAGTGACAACTTCTTGGAGATATGTCTCCAAGCACCAAGCCAAACCAAATCCAAAAATAAAAGCACAAATACTTCTATGACTTTCTCTTCTTTTGTAACTGTAGCTCGATGCCATGATGACGGTGCTGAACACATCCGATGCGGTGGAGCAGCTGGTTCTGAGGAACACGGACCTGACAGACGACCTTCTGCTGAGCTTGGCGGGGGCCCTGAGGAGCAGCCCGTCCGAGGTCACCCTGCTCAACCTCAACCTCAACCTCATTGGCCCATATGGCGCTCACATCCTGCTGGACATTCTGAGAGTGAAGCCTCAGGTCAAAGGCTTACAGTAAGTCCCAGGGCCCACCGGGCCATGTTACAACACATTCTGCGAATGAATAACAATCGTATTTGAAAAACACACTGCATTACAAGCAGATCCGGCGCCACCAGCCTTTCAAGAGTGTTTTAATGTGACTTTAGAAAAGAACATAATAAAACTGAAGAGACAGTAAAAAGACACAGCTAATCCAAGGACAGCCTCGCAGTATAAAATCTTAGCCTTTCATTGTTGAATTATAAAATCCATCTCTTTTATGTGAACAAGAAATGCCTCCAATGCCATACATTTCTGAGCTATTCTCTCCCCCCACTAAATACAATGAATGTGCAAGGACTTGTCAGTGTGACATTGGCTCAGAGACATATTGACAGATGTAGATAGCTTATATAGAGATACAGCATAGCTGGGGAGTATGTTTCTTTGCTTTCTGCTGGAGAGTTGCATGAGAATATTAATGCCACTCTTGCCTCTTATCTGTCTATCTATTAAAGATAAGGACACAAACGTTTCCCTGTAAGAGTATTTACTAAACGATGATGAAAATGCACGTATAGATTTCAACCACAGACTGTATAGATGGATGACATGACAAGTCAAAACATATCGATCACCCCTTGGTGGCTGGCTGCAAATTCTTAGACCTTTCACTGAATAAAGATACCAAATATGTCCGACTCACTAACAGGGAAATACGCATAAAAATCATCAATGGTCAACAAGCAGCTGCAAAACATTTATGTGACATTTTCATTCAGCTTGAAAAAAAGCATTCTGTAGTTTCTCACTTACATATGTTGCATAAGGGAAAGCTTACTATCAAGTGCATACCCTTTAAAGTGAGCAGGTCATGGAGGAATTGAAATAAATCTCCATGGTTACCACTTTTTTCTATCTCTACAGCTTGTTTGGAAATAAACTGCGTGACCACGGAGTGCTGACCCTGTTGAACGGAATAGCTGAGCTGCAGGAGCAAACAGCGAGAGCTGCTGCTGCCATCCAACAGGCAATGCTTTTCCCATCCGAGCAGAATATGCTTCTGCAGCTCCCCACTGGGTGGAGCTCTTTCAGGGTTTTTGTGCTTTTAGAACTGGACATTGGTGGAAATGGCTTGAGCAGCGACGGAGTAAAGCTGTTAGCATCATATATGAGGCACAGCTCGCATCTTCAGTATTTAGGGCTTGCACAGACCAGCGGTGCCGATTTGGCAGCGTGGAAGGAACTTTTCGGTAGCCTCAAGGGAAACATCTCACTGACCCAGATCATCCTAGACGAGAACAACCTGGGTGACCCAGGGATCAGGCTGCTAGCCGACATGTTGAAAGAGAACGTGAGTTTGCAGCAGGTGGATCTGGACAGGAATGGCATCAGTGACGTGGGAGGAAACGACATCATCGGGGCCTTGCTTTGCAGGACGCAGTTCCCACTGAGGCATCTGAGCCTTCAGGAGAACAACATCAGTGAAGTACTAATGAGTAGGATACAGGATGAGGTAAAATATAAATGAATCCTGCATAAGCGGAAAAATACACTTGCTAACCATGAGTTCCCATGTAACATAATAAACAAAACGCTGCCTTGAGATTCTTTGTGAACATTTTGAGGTCAGAGGGGAAAGAAACCTGACTCATTTGACTTTACCTTTAAACACACACATACATAAAAAGATATCTTCCTTCCTGCAAGTGGGTGGCCCTGCTAACAAATGCTGTATCTGAGTTTAGCCCAGGCAGCAAGTGTAGGAGGTGTGTTTGCTTTAGGGCTGCACTGTGGTCTGGATGCATTTTCAAAGAGATCTCAATAAACTGAACCTTTCTTCTTTGCTGTGAGGCTATAGCTTCACCTTGAGGTTTTTCATTTCTTCTTCACGCCAGCGTTACCCCTCATGACTCCACACCTCCTACTTTGCTAAAACTGACTCCAGCACACTGATCCCTCTGTCATTTTATTGAATAATTTGCTGCCTCTTGACAAAAAAGAACCCACAGTGACTCATTCCACCCACAGCATTTACAGGTCACGGATGACTTACCCAGGACTACCACTCCCCCGCTCCCATTATATTTCAGTAGCCATCATCAGACCCCCTTTCTCCACTTCTACAAATCAAAAGAGAGTTATGGACAGCTAAGCCATGCCACGTCAACTACCCTCATTTTGTTATTGTCCCTCCATGCGCTAGACAGAGCTTCTATTCAGAATCTGATCATGGGGAGAGAAAAACTACCGCAAATTTATCTAAATTTTGAAGCAGTCATCTCATTGTTCTATCAACACAGACATTCTGAGAATAACTGTACCTGTGATCAAAGCTTGTCAAAGTGGTAATTATCTCCTCCTCTCAGGGCTGCCGGGAGTGATTCTGCTGAAACCAGTCCCTCCATATTTCATCTGCAGTCTTTGCGAATTCCTTTCTGTGGGACACTGATAAAGACGCTCTCCGAAGCCCTGGGAGGATGACAGATAAATGAGACTGGCGCACCTGAAGATTACATCTGCAGAAGTCATCCTGCTCTGCCGTATCAGACTGAATAAGCTTCTATTTGTGGCGTTATGGTGTCATACGACCATGAACAGCAAAGACGAGATGTCTAGTTTAGGGTGTCTTATTTTGTAAGGTCAATTCTAAATTTTGCAGATGAGACAGGCAAGAATATTTTATCGGCAGTAAAACGAGTCCAACTTTCTTTTCTTTTCGACTGTTGATCTTCTAAGATCTCAAAAGACATATTTGTAGATTGAACACAAACCTATGTGGTACACCAGTATGCCTGCCTATGCATAAGCTGGCAAACAAGAGCCGCACTGTAATTCACAGACTTCTCTGATAAGACCTTCATGCTTCTCTGTTACAAGTAAAACTCAGATCAGTGACCCCATTGTCCGTCTGCTAATGCTATCTGTACCTGACCTGAAACAAATCCTACACTGTTACAAGTTTTTTTTCCCCAACTACTCTTCCAAAAACAAGGCCTTCAATCAAGAAGCTCAATCTGTTAGGAATTTACAGGTTTGCTCGAGAAACAGTTTCCCCTTTCCGGCCTTTACTGTATCATATCTCTTGATGCTTTCGCTGTACAGTCATATTACGCCTCACTAGTGCTGTGGTATGTACTACAGCCCAGAAATAATACGGTTAAACAAATCATTCAACTGGCGACCTGTCCAGGGTGTACCCCACCTTTCCCCCGATGTCAGCTGGGATTGGCTCCAGCCCCCCGCGACCCTGTACGCAGGATAAGTGGTTGACGATGGATGGATGGAACAAATCATTCATCAATGTTTTGCTGAAAAGAACAGTTCTATGTGACTAATATGTGAACTGTTCCTTGTCTGATTCTTTCTAAAACACGAGTTACTCTTTTTTTCACAGCTGAAAAGCAGCACAGATCCATCTGATATACTGCAATGGAGGGGCTGAGTTTAAGACAACCGATGCTGTGCTGTGGGGAAAATGGAGAGTGGAAAGTCTTGGGAATTGAGTTTCTTGATTGTGACTTAGGGCAAAAACAAAACAAATGAAGTGAACAATGGTTACTCGTCCTCATGGGAAGTTCAGTGAATCAGACTTCCTTTAAGGTTCCTGGGCAGGGTGATGCAATTTATTTCCACTTTCAGCATATGAAGGGTCAGTGTCTCTTTGGAGGGCCATTACTCAAGTTCATTTTTAGCCCTGGCGTGGCTCAAGGGACAGCGATGTCAACCTGTTGGTCGGTTTGTTCACCATTTTTGTCCAGAGTCAGACATATCTCAACAACTATTGGATAGATTATCATGAAATTTTGTACAGATGGGCATGGTCTTCAGAGGAGGAAGCTTAAGGATTTTGGTGACTGTCCTACCTTTTCCTCTAACGCCACTGTTAGTTTTACAGTTGTGGTTTTGAGTGAAATGTCAAACAACTATTGGATGGATTGAAATTTGGTACAGACATTCATTTTCGCCTCAGAATGAATTGTAATCAAATTGGTGATTTCTTGACTTTTCATCTAGCGCCATCATCAGGTCAAAATCTGTCCAATACTTTGGCTTATGATTAAATACCTAATCTAAAAAAACTAATCAGAATCTGATGCAGCCAAGTCATAAGACATAAACCTATATGAATAAATATGCAATAAGCAAGATGTACAAGTTATAAATAATAACAGAGACTATATGCAATGTGGCAGTTAATGTAATTACATTCATATCAGCCTCAGCTGTAATGGTGTTTCGTGCTAATTAGCAAATATTAGTATGCTCACACACTAAACCAAGATGGTGAACATGGTAAACATTATTCCTGCTAAACATCTACATAGCACTGTCATTGTGAGCATGTTAGCATGCTGAGGTTAGCATTTAGCTCAAAGCACTGTGTGATATTATTTAGATATGGAGATAATGGCGCACTTTTTCAGTCGGAGAGGTATGGGGGGAAGGATCTTCCGCAGCAATTCGACCATCCAGCAAGCACTTCTGAAGAAGCATTTTGGAAGCTTCAGTCTTGTTAAATCTGCAAAAGTGCATAAAATGTATAATACATTCTACCTCTGGTATCCCGGACAAAACAGCCTTTTTTAAGACAGTGAATACAAGGTTGTATTTTAATGCATTTCTAAAAAGAGAACACACACTGAAGCTTCTGCATCCTTTCCACCACCACCAAAATTAACACCAAAGCATGCTGGGAATGACTGTATCCTGTATCTGAGTCATGAGGGGTGTATGTTTCTGTACAGTCAGTGGGCCTGTTTTCAGCCTGCATTTACAAACCCAGGTGGTAGATTTGTGTTTTACGGAAGCCTGGGGGCGGTGGACCTGTGTCGGAACAGCAAACCCTCTGCTGGGTCCATTTTAGTCCGCTCTCTACTGAAGCACTCGCTAATTTGTTTTGTCTAGTCTGTCCAAATCAGATGTTGCTTGTGATGCTTATCCAAATGGAGGCTGTTTGTTGTTAATTCAAAAATATTTTTCCACATGGAGATTTGCTGAAAGCCCTGCAACATGGCCTAGCTTTACGGCTGGCTAAATACAATCACTATATCAGTTTATGTGGATGGTAAGCAAATCAGGTAAGATACAGTACTCACAGAAGACTACACTGTGCTCTTGATTAATCGCTGTATTAAGATCTTTGTCTTCCTCTTCTTAACTGTTGCAGTAAACAGAGAGAGGGGAGCAGGAAGTTGATTTTGGCTCATACTTAGTGCACACAGTGTAGCAGAGGATGGATGAGGAAAGGCCTGGCTGAGGATAAGAGTGAATATTTCTAGATTTGCAAGATGTAGCACTGTCGTGAGATCTCTTAGTGTGGCCTCTCCATAACAAATCCCCTTTTATTATCCAGAATAGGAGAGACATTTATAGATCGGGTACCTCTGTTATGATGATGCATGCAAAGCTACAGTTACAGTAGTATATTATTCTCATATTGGTGGGACAGCATACAGCATTTAAGCCACAAGTCCCCAAAGCCTAGGGCAAGATAAATGTGAGAATTAAAAACACATTTTTCTATTCAAAATTCAATTAACATTATTATTTTCTTGTAAAATGCTAGACAGTTTTGTCCCTCCAGGCTTCCAAAAATGATTAAAATCAAATAAAAACTATAGCTTGTCAAAAAACATTAATGAGTGAAGGGCATTGTCAGTGAGGAAAGTACATTATAATAACAGTGGGTTACGTGACTAGCAGTATGTAAGTCTAATGCAACAGTTCTATAAACAACTGTATGTTCAGTTTACCCTGCATTGCACTACATTCTGTGACAAGGCATTGTGATGATGGTGAATGAAAAGTTTTAGAGTCCGCGCTTTGAACAATAGCTCCTGCTGCTGTTTGACATTTGGCAGAAAGAGCTGCTTTTCAATATGGATTATTCATCAGCGGCTTGATCTTCCACTCAAATGTCACCACAACAATGCCTCTGACTTGGCAGCAGCGTCTGTCTTTCTGCAGCTCGGCGGGGTGAGGAATTGGCAATAATTATCGCGTCTAATGTGGCCTTCAGAAAGATTCAGACTTTTTGTTCAAGCACTTTCGCTATTCAAATTATTATTATCACCATTTTATTGAGAAGCAAGGAAAGATGAGACTCTTGGCTTACCACATCACTGCAATATTGTGCTCTTTGCTCTGACATGATGTATTATATATAAGTTGTAAACAGGCCTAATGTGGGAAATCTGTGAACTGCTGCAGCATAACACAGTGCCTCAGATGACTGATGGATGTAACAGTCCTGTGACCACAAAGAAAATATCCAATGTGTTTACTTAACACGCAGCTTGACCTAAAAACATGTTGGTAATCAACGACCTGATATTCATGAAAAACCTTAATGACCCTGATATTTCATCACTCATTATTTGTATGAAGACCCTCACAATACCTTGGTTTGAGCTGTACAGCTTCTTTGAAAGCTTTTCATTTGCACAGAAAAGCTGCCAAACTATCTGTTTGTGCTGTAACGGCAGAATCTGACCTGCTAGCAGATAATGTAAATTAGATGTTTTTGTTTGTTCCTTCAAGTCTTTAAACTGGCATTAATTGATTATTAGACACTTGGGGGAGCACAATATGCTGTACATCACATGTAAATCACCATATAAGGTTGGTATAGTGAATGTGTTAGCAAAATGTTGCTGTGTTTCATCTCCACCAACTATATCTGGCTCTTAAGAAGTCCAACTATGTTAATAACTGGTAACTTTGTGCGTTGTTTTGTGCCAAGCTTGGGTGTTAAAGGAGTTTATGAGCGGTCTTTTCACTAAAATCAGTTGCCTGCTGCAGTGACAATCAAGGTCAGACAGGTGAGACTGAACCAAAACTGTAAATCTGTGGGCCAAAAGACACTAAAAAGCAGGTGATAGTTCTCTGTTTGTGTCATTGCTAACAGCCACCACAACAGATGAACATTTGATCATTTGATAATGTGAAAATATTGATTAGACCGCTTTGAACAAGAAATCTGTTGCAAAGTTCCAGTATGTATTTTAAGACTGGTCTCAGTCTGATCTGGGATATTTATCAAGCTTCTCAAAGTGCAATTTTAGTCTTAAGTGCTGACAATTCATGAAATTTATTCCTACTTTTAAACTTAAGAATAAAAGCAAGTTATCAAATTTCTTAATGCTAAGAATCACTCTTACTCTCCCAGTTATTTAAGATAGCTCGAGAGGTCTCTCAAGAGGTTAGGAGTTGCCAGTAGGGCTTGTGATGGCACTGTGGAGACAGAGACATGCGGAGAGGAGAGGAAGAATTCTGACAACGTGCAGTTAATAAGACGGGTCGGACAGCACAAGCATAATCCTTGTCAGCGAGTTGGTGAGGGACGTCATCTCACCACTGACTTTACACAGTAATGCGTTTTCAGTTAAACTGAAGGTGGAGATGACGCCACAGGACAAACGCAGCAACGCTGATGATTGTGGCCGTCACAACCATCAATAAGCCAAATAGTCAAGGAAACAATTATAGCACTTAGGCTACAGCTCCACACACTGTCACGCGTTTCATCGACTTCCTAACAACACCCCAGTAATCCAACAGAAGCAAACACAGTTTATTCAAATAGCCGGCTTCACAGGAGTAGTAGGTGCAATTGATGGCCCCATATAAAGATAACCTTTTTTATATTTCTTAATGTGTAGGCCTATATCATAATGTATTCTCTTGAAAATTCTTTATTGTTAAACGTATGTTGAATATAAACTCCTCTTAGGAATTTCACCATTCAATGTGAATTTATCTGAAAATCTCTTCAGTGATTGGTCCTTGGCTATATCGTCATCCAAAATCCTGTTTGCTGCACAGCAAAGTGTCGCGAATCAGCACTAAGACTGACACTTAAGATTTAGTCCTACACTTCACTCAAATTAGGACTATGATGCTTGATAGCTACCTTGTAAGCTCAGCTTTGAGCCAAGAATTTTTTTACTCTTAAGTCAGTTCTTAGCCGTGTTCTGATGAGTAATTCTGAGAAGCTTGATAAATACGGGCCCAGATCATGTTTTTTGTTTATAACTAAGCAGGAACCTCTGGGTGTGAAAAGTAAAGCCTGTGTGGCATGTGCCTTAGACCTGCAATCTTTCTAATAGTCATCACAGGGCAAAGAAAAGTCAGATTGTATAGAAGTCTATGACAAAATGCTCCTAATTCTCACTTCATTTATTACCTGGTAAGTCTTCTTCAATACAGCATGACGTTCATTTAGTAAATTATGGACCCATTTAGAGTAAAACAGACAATAAAGTAGGGTATGCTTTAGGACATTCAAGTAACAATTTGTCTTTATTGCATTTATTTTAGGGTCTAAGTCCCAGAGTTGACGCATTCAAATTGTTTGTTTTGTCCAAAGCAACAGATAATTCATTCAATGTCATTTCACTATATATATTATTTATAAAAATTGTTACCACCACTCTTTAATCGACAATTGTTTCAGCTCAAATTTATTTGTCCATCTGAGCCCATGGTTTGTCATTGAAATCAGTAACTGTTGTGTAACTGTTAAACCTATTTAAAAAATTCCCCTAATTAGAGGTTATACAGCTCCATCCTGAGGCAGCAACATATTAAAAACAGAGAGATGCTAATATATGATACTGATTTGGACTTACCTAACAAGAATGTATAAATATAATATATTATATATAATATATAAATAATATAAATATAACTTTTCTCAAAATTTCCTGTTGTAATGTATGGAATGGGTAAACATTGCACCAGGGCATGCACTTGGATCCAGCTGTGCCTGGACAGAGGTTGCTATATTCAGCTGGCCCCAATTCCCCAAGACATGGGAGTAAAACAAAAGACTCTGTGTTTATCAGACCAGAGTTTTGATCACTAGATCATGGCATGAAAGGATGCATGTTCTATTTTCTAAAAATAGAAAATAGAGAGGGATAACCTAAATAATCAAAATCCCCTCAGGTCTTTTGATGTTTTTCCTTATCTCAGAGATATCAGCCATAGTCAGTGGAATACATCAGCTTACACTGTGCGCAACCAAATGTTGCTCATATTATGTGACTGCTCTGTTAAATAAGGATGATTTACATGCATATGGTATAGGGACGCTAGTTACATTAACACTGTCTGTCTGCAGGAAAATCCTCCAATTTCCTGCAGACACTGAACTTCTAACATGCATCATAATGCTGGGTTATACAGGCCAGCTGACTTCTATTACCCACCACTGGTCTGGAGAAAAACAATCACAGAGCCTATCCACACCTGACAATGGTTATAGACAGGGCCTTGGATGGTAGTCATATGGTGACGAGTGGAAGAAAATCAACTCATAAAACACTAATAGAAAAACTTGCCTCCTGATCTCCTTAAAAAAAACAAATCTGTTTAATTGCTCTGTCCACCAAAGCTCATTCATGATTTCCATGAAACAGTTTTTTTCAGGCCTCAATCAAGAATGGAAAAAAGTCTTTGCTACGACTGGAATGAAAGTCTTGTTCAACTGCTGTTAGGTAGTAAACGGTAATATAAGTGCTCCTGCCCTCAGGTGCAGCGTCCCATAAGACCAACAGCATATACCACAAACCCATGTGTTCCAAGGAACCATATCTGGGAAGAGTTTACATAACAATTACAGAGGTTTGCACACCTTACGTTAGACAGGGAGGAAAGGACGCCGGCAGCTATTTATTGATCGCCTTTCAGTGAAGTCTGGTGATATTCATATTTTTCTTAGCAACAATTCCATGAAAAAAACAAAGTGTCTGTGAAGCCAAAGTCTGATAGTCTGACGTATTCCGCTGTGCCAAAGACCTCTATTATTGCCCATAACAATTAAACACACATCACAGGTACCAGTTAGCTCACCTGGTAGAGTACGCTCACCATGTAAAAGTCCTTTCCACAGAAGGCCGGGTTTGATTCCAGCCCACTGCCCTTTGCCCTTTCTCTCTCTTCCACATTTCCTTTCTCTGTCTTCAGCTGTTCCTGTCAAATAAAAGGCAAAAAAGCCCATATTAATAATAATTTTAAAAAGCATATGGTGTTTTATTACTTTGAGCACGGTAGTTCATTTAGAGTCAGTCCCATATATACTGTCCCAGTGGCATAAATACTTACTAGCGCACCAAATCCGCAGTTGAAAATAATATCCAGTGCCCTGAAATATCTTTGTTAAATGAATGGTTGGAGCTGAGTGCCATAAAAAACACTGAAAATTAACTGAAAATTAAAGAAGTAATTCAACATTTTGGGAAATGTTCTTATTTGCTCTCTTCTCAAGGGTGAGATGAAAAGATTGATACTGCAGGATATGTAGGATAACATAAAGCTGCAATCAGCAGCAGGTTGGGTTAACTTAGGCCCCATCCACACTACTGCGTTTTCAAATTAAAACGGAGACCTTTTGCTACGTTTGCACCTCCTGTCCAGACTACAACGATGAAAACAAAGACCTAAAACGGAGAAGTTTGGAAACGCTGCCGACCCCGTTTTGTGTTTCAAAACTCCGGAGGGCGTTTTAGTGACGACGGGCCAAAACTGAGGACTTTAGAAACGATGATGCAGCCGCTCACTCTCGGCTCTCTGATTGGGTCTTGCAAAGCAGAAACACAATGCTGCTGACCGGGTTTTTGACATCATATTTTTATTAAAATATTCTGTACCGTGCAAATAACATCTGCCTAAACTTGTACTGTGCATGTCGCCGTTTACTTTGCAACATCTCCCAGTCTGTTTTCTGCCGCCACACTACCGTGTTACATTCAGTAACAGTCCCAGCTCGTTATTGATCCAAGCAACAACAAAAAAAAAAAGGTCTGATACTTAGTCTGTATTTATTTATTCTTTCGCCAAAACTTCTGTTACTACAGAATAGACAATCTGCTTCATGTTTACACTGGCACGCGCATTCCCAGTGCACCTGAACGGGTCCTAGCTGTGCGTTTTCAGTCTTTTTAATGAAGACGGGGATCAACTCCAAAACGCAACGGAAACGCTGGTGTGGATGGAGATCATATTCGTTTTAATTCTCTGTTTGTAAACTAAAACGGAGTAGTGTGGATGGGGCCTTAGGGTAAAGACTGGAAGAAGGGGGCCCCAGAGCCAGCACACCAGCTCAAGACAGCGATGCGATACAACTCTCTGCTGTTATAGCTACTACCACAATAGTAAAAATATCTTTGCAAACTAGAATTCAAGCTGAATGTCTGTGGGCAAATAATTTGACATTCCCTGACAGACAAATAATGTCTAAAATAGCTGGAATAGTGTTGTGTGGCTTGTTCTGACAAATGTTCCGATTGTTTTTCAGTGCACACCGAGAACAGACAGCTAACTGTGAGTCTGTGAGAATTTGACAAAAAGACGTGTATTGGATTGGAATCACGTACCTCGCCTTTAAAGCCGTTTTAACTTTTGTACAGATTTAACAAATGTGTAATAAGTGAGCTTTAGAGGTGCTGGTAGGCAGATTTTGTGTCCTTTGGGACTGAGGCAAGCTGGCTTCTTCCCTGTTTCCAGTGTGTATGCTAAACTAAGACAACCAGATCCTGGCTTTAGCGTCATATTTAATGTACACATTTGAGAATGGTATAAATCTTCTCCATTAACTTTTGACAAGAAGGTGAATGAGCATATTTCCTAAAATGTCTAACTAGTCCTTCAAACTGTTCCTCTCCTTACTTAGCCCCCTGGCCTGCCTTCCAGAGCACTTGGCAGTCCCTGGGCCACAGTTTGAGAGGCGCTTCCATAGGCTGCTGCAATAATCATTACAAACCCCATGAAACTTTACACCCCAGATTGGAGATCTTCCTCTGGGCTCTTCACAAGGCAGTGAGGACATTGCCCTTCTTGTCTGTGAACTAAAACTTGTGGTAACAAAAGCTCACATCTGACGAAGCTCAGTCAGGTACATGGGAAGTGCTCTTTCAAGGTGGTGAGCTCCCTTCCTTCCTGGCCCTGAGAGGACGAACTGTGAGGGGGCTCTGTGTGAGGAGGAGGGATCCAGTTGCAGGCAGCTGAATCAGTGCTCTGTTGGGTCTCCCCTGGACACTGTCATAGCGTGTTTGCTGAAGGCGGGTCAATGAGGACTTTCTTTGGCAGAGGAATTTCACAGCACACGACAGCGCACAAACACACACACACACACACACACACACACACAAACAGGAACCAGTGCAGCCATGCAACCCAGATCTCTACTGCTACTCTGGTGAGAACGGAAGTGGAGGTGAAATGAAATGAATTGATGATTTGTTTTAGCCAAAATATGTCCATCATATTATACCGTAGTTTGGTGGAACCTGACGCAGACAGAGCAATTGTGAAGTACAAACAGTAGGAGTGTTTATATTGCAAATTTTCATCTGTCAAACAGCTTGTCCTGTAAAAGTTATACCACCCCTTTCACAAGAAATTCAATGGTGGGGTGATTACACAAAGGTTCTTTATTGTGATTGGGTATCACCTATACTTTTTACACAAGTAAGAAAAATGCTGTGGACACCAAGGTCATGTCCTGTGTTTTTGGTTCCAACAATTTGTGGGTTTCTACAATTTTAGGTTTTTGTGACCTGAAATGCAGTTTTAGGATGTAAACCGGACCCTGCAGGTTCCTTTCACTATCTACAACGTAACAACAACGTGGCAATGTGAACGCACAGAGACATCGTAGCAGACATTATTGTATATTTAAGGAACGCTGTGTCAACCACCGCCAGTTACAAGCTAACAAACAACATAAACAAATAAAAGATGCTAACTATACTTCTGATACATCTGCTAGTCACTGATTTTGGTGCACAACAGACTCCTGATCTGAGTCTGCGTCTGACTGAGGCTCAAACACGTAGTCTATGGCTGAATCTCTTCAATGTTTCTTCTACCGCTAACCATCCTGATGCCAGTGCTGTTTCACATCAACCTAATGCAAGCAGCAGTGGTGGGCGGGCATTCATAGATTCAGAATTCCTCAGTGAGGGAGAAAGAGTAAATGTATGAATCATAGCAGAGTTTTACATAGGCCTACTTACAGTATGTGTCTGGAGGGGAACTTGAAGCTACCACAATTAAGGGGATTGTTTAAAAAAATTGTTCATGCTATGCATTTATGTCAACTCTGAAATATCAATATCAGCCTCAAAAATACAATATAACTAAGCCACTCTATAATAAAAAAATTTCACAAAGACAATCATTACAGGTAATTGTATTGCATGTTTCATTTTGAAAGCCAAGATAAATAAACAAAAATGGGGTCTTCTTCCCAGCAGACATTTTGAACTGTCATAGTAATGCCTGGTGGAGGATTTCCAAATCTTAACTGAATTTAAAGAACATGGGATACCTCAGACATAAAGACAGAAGCAACCGATTTTAAATATTTTTATCTCAGAACAAGCACTTGACTCTGAATGTACCGTGAAAATCAAAACACAAAGCTAAAATTAATTATTTTTGTTCATGAATTCACTTATCTGTCATTAGGAAAAACTGTGGATATGTAACCGCGGGTAAATCATGATCTTTATTTTATTAATTTCATCAGTGCGTGTCTGACACTTCTGTCTGAGCAACGCACGTCAGCTATCTCCTCTCTGCCTGCCTGAACTTACACTTTCCCTGTCCTCACGACTATAACTTCCACTAACCACAAGAAAACAAAGTGTTACTTTGTGGCTATACCAACACTGTTGACACAATGTCGGCTACAGATAACCTGCAACCCCTGCTGGAACAAGAGAACTACACAACGATCAGTAGGCCTATTTAATGATTAATTAGGCTATAATCAAAACGGTGTTGTTTTATTTTATTTTGTATGTTACCATACTTTAAGATAGACCTACACTTAATTATATGTTGTGTGTGTAGCAGGAAGGAACTACAAATATCTTTATGCAGCCTTGTGCTGTATAAACAACCTTGTACCTTGTAATCTTAAGAATCCACACACCACACAATTGAGTCAAGGTGCAGGGCCAAGCATTTATACTAAATGATTTCAGATTGGCGGTTTGGGGTGGGGGTTTCTCGCAGAAACTCGCGTGATCAAGGTGACTTCAGACATAAACAAACATGGGAATAATAAAGTTAACAGTGGTGTCTGGTGAAAATTCCCAGGGGGGGCTGATGGGACTCACGGCCTCAGTATATATAAAATTCTTGCTGCAGCCCTGACAAGACTAAAAATGCAACTGCTTGTGGCTGACAGATGCACAACGCATTCACGGGTGTGTTCATTCATTTATTGCCGCACGCGATAACCAGCAACACACACGCACACTTAACACGTGCAACCCGAGAGGACCCTGCTTCCCCAGAAAGACACACCTTCGGCCGGAGGAGTCTTCTCTGCTACAAATTTGTTTCCCTCGATGTCAGCTGAGGGCGACAGAGGGAGGTGTTCCCCCTTGCCGGTTCTCAAGATTTTCCTCAGTCCACAATAAACTTTCATTTTGGGAAGTCGATACACACACACACGCACACACATACGCACACACACATACACGCTCACAACGGAGGTCGTCATCTTGTCCTGCAACGGTTCCCCGGGAAAGAAAGCTGGACTAGACTTGACGTTCATTGTACTTTACAAAACGCGCGAAAGAAAGAAGGACAAAACATAGGAAGCGCACAGGTGGAGCTCTCCAGGGCGTCTTTTTTTGTTATTTTTTTGGTGTAATCTTCTGGAAGGAGACTACAGGGATAAGAAGAGTCAAGACAATGACATAAAGAAGCATTTTCACCGCTGGTTAATTCCACCGTGTTTGATTCGTTGTTTTGCTATTTTGCTTCCTGGCACGTTGACTTCTCGCGCGACCCTCAAGGAACACCTGGAATGGAAAAACTGTATCTGCCTCGTCTGGACTGTAGTAAAAACTCCCAAGAAAGAATGAAGTAACCGCTATGGAGCTGGACAATGCCCCGTACTCCAAACTCAAAACCACTGGAGTCGGGGGGTGAGTCGACACATTCAAACAACATATCTATTTTCACTGTTTGTTTTTTTCATGTGCTTGTGAACATCACCTGCATCTAAAGCACGGCGTATTGTCCGTTTGACAGTGGTATTCGTGTTAAGTTGTAGCATTGTTATAAGTTGTAGCCTAATATTTTACTCAAGTAGTCTGTTGCAGAATTTGTTAATAGATCCTGAGAGATAGCACACATTTAAAGTCTGTGTTTACTTGAACAGGTGGTATACTTTAATAGGTTGGAGGGTAACTTTTTTTTGTGTCTGCGCCTCACTCAGTGGAAGCCAGTGTAGCCTGCTGTGCTGTTCTCAGAGTTGTGTCTTTGCAGCTTGTATCAGAAAGAGCCGCTGAATGATCTGGTACTGATTTGAGGGAGATGTATGAGAGGAGGAGACAGTCACCCCCCCCCCCCCCCCAATTTCTCTCCTCCCTGCTGTGCATCTCACTCAGCTGGTTGGCCTGCTGTCACAAATGGGAGGGAAAATAAAAGTCAAAATGTTGCATCATATAACCCTGCTGGACCTGAGAGACTTGGTCACAAACTGCACACCCCCTTCCTTTCTTGGTTTCTGCTAATGTCAGTGTGAGAGCAGTGCATGGGACATAAAGGAGGGAGGGAAACTTTTAAAAGCTTCAACCAGCAGTCAGTGTGTCAGTGGTTGACCAGTGGCTTTCTGCGGTTCTCTGGGAAAACCACAAATGTAAAAGGTTTCCTGTAACTGCCTTCATTATGGCATTTGTCACTGAGCCTGGTATACTTCAAGCACCACTTGCTCAACAGGCGTCCAGTTTCATGTACTGCATACAACCAAATAATTAGTTTCATGAGTGTAAAAACCCAGCATAATCCTGTTGATGATATGAGTTTGCACATATCAGAGATAATTTAACATCTCTACATGTGAGCAATCAACTCTCCTCTTAGCACTTGTCTTTGAGAAAAATCAATGGTCTGAAATGTGCTGTTTATGAGCTGACATGAGATCATAAATGTCACTGTTGTCATGTCAGTTGAAGGATTACATGGTCTTTTATGGGTTGAAATGCGGCACCTTTTAGACCCATGAAACCCTTTCAAAACCTGCAGTCAAAAAGTGCATAATAAAAGCTTTAATCAAGGCGGGTTGTCACAGTTCACATAAAATGCATCATTAATATGTGAACCATGTTACAATATTCGTCTGTATCTTTCGCTTGGAGTTGTAGGTTTTAAGGTGATGAAGTGAATTTTAGATTTATTAGAGGTGGTCTTGTGGGAGCACTCACCTAGCCCCACCGAGCAGTAGCTTATCTTGTCAGGCAGCAAGATAAGACCAAGCTTGTTGTAGTGAAACACATGTTAGTCGCTTTGAACAAACCAGAGCTGCTGCTCTTCTGCAGCAGATCGGATCACTGTGGTAGGTTGAGGTACAGGAGTGTATGGCAAATGAGCATTTAGAGTTTCATCTTTACGTGTTATAACTTAGATTTGTTCCTTGTTCTGGAACTTCTGATTCAATATTGTGACTTGTGAGTTGATGAGCTGAAATAATCAGTTGAAAGATAATCAGTCCCATCTACTGGTTACAGCTTCAAAATGCAAAGAGTATCTTGCTTGTCTTTGTTTTAAATCATTAAGAAGCTTTGAATGAATTAATGAATAAATTAAGGCATAAACAAATGTTGTTAGCTTCTGATAAGATTAAATGAGAAAACAAATTATGCATTTATTATTATTATTATTATTATTATTATTATCATTGCGTTAGAGTGTAAACAGTAAAAACAGACTTGTAAGATTAATGAAGTGTACAGAAAAATCTATACCTCAACTGTCTGCCATCATTATTTTCTAACCTTTTTGTCTTTATCTTTAGGAGAGTTCTGATTCTTTGGACTATAATCTGTTGCACCTGCTCTCTAAGGCTAGCACATGCACAAGGTAAGCAAGGGTGAATGTTTCTCTTTCTTTACATGGAAACACATTGTTGTGCAGGTTGTCACAAAAGTGTCTCACAAACAGTGTAGGAAAGAGGAAATCAAAATTGATTTTATGGAAAGTTACAGTTAAACTTTCAGGTATGCCCTGTCCACTAAATCTCAGCGAGACTGTGCAGAACCTTAACTAGGTAATATCATTGATAAATTAAGTTTGATAGAACACAAAATGAATAAAGGGAGTATAAAGAAACTTAAAGTAAGTACATTACCCCAGCATGGCCCCCTTGTTGCGCACATGTTTATCCAAGTTATCCAGGGATCGTCTATGACTGAGGTGATCAGCGTCTACATTTTCCATTCACAGCTTGTACCACTGTCAGCGTAGCTGTTTGATCTATCAAGGCCAAAACTCTGATTCAATATGTTTACTCTTCCCTGGGGTAGGACATTTATTTCAGAATCATTTTTTTTGTTATATTTGTTTGTTTGTAGAAATTCCTGACAGCAGTCAATAAATCAAATGCTCTGACACAAAAATGAAACAAAATCCAGGAGCTGTGGCTGACAGATGAGTTAGAAACTGCAGCTAAACCTCAGAATATGGCTTCCTAATTGTGGAATTGTTTTGTGCCTTTTAAGCCTGATCAATAAGCCTGCTGTCATTACATCCAGATACTCAGTATAAACATACAAACAACGATATTTTGTTAATTTGCAAACTCTCCAATCCCAACGAGACTATAAATGTGTCACTTAATAAAGCAGGGTGCGCTGGAAAAACAGTTCTACTGGTATAAAAAGCTGCAGACTGTTCTTGCATGATTTGTAAGACAAATGCTTGCTGCTGTCTACTTGTCTCATTAGAGGGACTTGCAGTGAAAGTGACTCTGCAATCACAAGCTATTGTACTCCTTTTTGTTTGAGCGGTGCAGGCCATACTCCAGTGTATTAAGGCACAATCCAAGATTGGTGTACTTCACCCTTTCCTCTACAGTTATGGTGTGGGTGTGGCTTAGAGGTAGAGTGGGTCGCCCACTAATCGGAAGATCAGCAGTTTGATCCCTGGCTCCTCTAGTCTGCATGTTGAACCCCAAATTGCTCCATAAGGTTTTGCCATTGGTGTGTTACTGTGTGCGAATGGGGTGAATGGGACATAGTAAATAATTTATATATAATAAGATAAAGACGTACGCCCTGGGAATTCACTTACTGAATTACGGAAATGTCATGTCCTATTGCTCACTCAGACCTTTTAGGAAAAAAATCATTAATTTTAATGTGGAATGGGAAAAGTGTTGCTGAGACAACTTCTGAGTTTCAGACCTTTGGTAATATCTGCTGGCCAGTAGATGCATTAATGTGTTGAGTCAGAGGCCTGCAATTCACTCCCTGTTTCTTGAGAAACACAGTGTTTTTGAAAAGATCTTCACTGTCTCTCTGTTGGGATTTATGTAGAACTAGTTGTGGAACTTTGTGCCACTGCTTTTTCCAGAATGAACACACAAAGTGTTAAAGTATCTATTTTTATTCTTTGTCTCCTTGAAGAGATTTTTACTGTGAAGAAGCTGCAGGAAATGTTAAGTCTACTCTGACGGCATACTAATAATGATAATGCATTAGTCTGTGCATGTGCCTGCTTTCTGAGAAACGATCTTTAGCAGTGCTTTGTCTCCGGGATGTGTTGTACTCAGTTCTTAGCTTTTTATTCCTCTAGCACATCAGGAGGTCACAAAAAGCCTTAGGCGGCCACACTACCCGCTAAGATTAAAATATGCAAAGAAAAGCCCCGAAAGTAGATCACAAATCACAAAATGAAAGAACAATTTTGCTTTCCTCTTATCATATTAACAATTCAAATGTGTGCTGTATGGGAAATTCAACTGAAGAAAGTTTTTTTTCAGTTTGATGTTTGTTTTCCATGTGTGGGTTTTTCAATCGAGTTGACCTCCCACTGCCTGCACACACTGGGCAGGGTTTCCCTCCTAACATGTCTAGTGTCTATACTTGTTTCTCCTCTGCTGAGCCATAATTAATCATTTAGCAGTTTATTTTAGTCTTGCACACATTTGATTTGTTTTAGTCTGGAAAAAGATGGGTATTTGAGATCTATATGTAAGCTTCTAGTTTCAATTTTGCATGTGCTGAGAGGATTAACGTACTGTATTCAGGATATGCTGATTGGCCGGGGATGATTAATTCTTCTTTTTTTCCCCAACCTTGCTAAACTAAACAAAAAGCTTTTGTTTGACGTTACTGATGGCTTGCACCGGTGCCTAACAATAAACAATAGACAATAGTATGATAATGGGAACATTTCCAGTCTGTTTTGACCTTCGAACCAAAAACAGATTTAACTTTTTAAGAGCGTTGAATGTTATGCTTGCGGAAGTATTATGCTAGATCTATCTTAACCTTAGTGCTGTTGTATCAGCGGTTCTCAGTTTGGGGTTTGAGACCACTATGTTGGGTTTAGGGATTGCAAAGGATGTCATTTTTTT